AGCCCAAAGAGGAGAAGCCAGGCCTTCTTCAGCCACAGGAACAAACCAAGTTTCTCCTAAATGGTTTAGCCTGGTCACCCTGGCTGAAGGCTGTGCCCAGGCCACCAGCTCCATGTGGAAGTGTCACGTGCTCATAGGCTGCCGGCTCTGTTGATGTGTTTCATCTGACTGAGCTGCAGAGCTTGAAGCCCCCCTTCCCCATAACTTAGCCCCGCCTCCACTGCCTATTTACACAAAGGTACACTGAGAAGAGAGAGAATGCAAGGGTGGCCACAAAACACCCACTGTGAGGTTCTCCTGGAAGAAGTCGGTCCTCCTCCCTAGCCCCAGCCCCCTGGCCATCAGCTCATGCGGTGCCCTCGGCTGCTGGAGGCCCCTTCCTTCTCCTCTCGGCAGCTGGTTCTCCTGCTGACCCAGTTCTCCCACCACTCACAGCACGAAATGACGGCTTTCTCTAAAACTCTCGCTTTGTACTGCGACATCGGACATACAAACTCATAAACCACCAGTTTTGGCATTAGTGCAAATTCCGACCAGTGATCAGAGACAGTGGGTCGTAGTGAAAAGAACCACCAGGACAGAGTGTGCTTCCCCAGCCATTTCACTCTTCTTTAATCCTACTTTCTTGGGCACACAACTAATTTGCACGGAATAAATTAGGACAGCAAGGCAGACAGCGCTGATTCCTAACACGCTCTTTGCATGTAAAGATGAAACCCTCGAGTAAAGGGATCACCTGTCCATGACAGAGCTGCCTTCCCTGGTGTATGAGGACCACTGTGGGGGGATACAGGGAGCGGGTACAGGAGCACCTGGCAAGTGAACTCACAGCAATGTCTGAAAATTAGGAATCTGGTGGGAAATTCTGAATTTCTTAAGGATGACAGGGAGTCAGGGAGTCACTGAGCAATAGTCCCATTATTTCCAGAAGTTACTGAAACTGGAACCTGAGGTTAAGACTTTTAGGATAAAGCAACCTCAAGTGAGTTCAGAACTGGCCTTGGGAAGAAATAGCAACCAGAGATGGTAGGGAGTTTCAGTGCTTCAGAACAAAAATTGTCAGACTCGAGCTACATGTCTGACTTGACTCAAGGTGAAAACAATAGTCTTATTTTAAAAATTATAAGTTGGCAGCTAGAAAAAGGCTGAAAGTGAAAGCTGGAGCCCCTTTCCACCTTTCCGCTTTGCTGCTGGTGCCTGCTCTCCTCACAGTACTTGCTGAAAGCGTTCAGAATTCAATGAACACAGATTTATTAGGTTGATTTGCAACAAGGAGTTTAAGAGGAAGAGTTCTGTTTGGTTGAAACCACTTCATTTCACCGCTTGGCAATGGTAGTCCTGAGTGTCCGTGTGGAAGTAAAATCTCCCTCGACCAAGGGTCAAACTGCTGGTGGGGCACAGCAACTTCTTGGCCCATCAGGTTTCTTTGTTCTGGTCCCTCACATCTGGGAGTTTATGCACCGAGGGACATAGTTCACTGTGAAGAAACAGGCTCAACACCATTTTCTGTGGACACTCTCTCCAATGTCCAGTAGTGCAGATGGTCAGACAGACTTGGAAGAAAGCTGCAAAAGTCCTGTCAGGAATCTTGACTTTGTTAGATGTGGACACAGGAAAATCACCGCTGTCCTCCCCAGATTTTGTTATTAGTCAAAGGAGAAACATCCAAGGGGTTCTACTTGGAAATACACTAGATATAAAACTGATGAAACGCTAACTGGTCCATAAAGGGCTGCACAAGATAATCTGTGGCAAAGTAGAAAACGAGCCCAAAGGTGATGGAGATGGGAAGTGCTGGCAACGCTTTCTTGAAAATGGCGAGGAGTAACAGTGTAAGGCACAAACCCTGTGGAAAGGATGGGAAAGACAAATTTACACTTAATAATGAAGAAGACATTTTTATCTAAAACAACTTAATCACAAGTTTTTTTTTAAAAGGTTTTTGCCACAGGTGCACTTGCTACAGAGAAAGAAAGAGAGAGGGAAAGTCAAAGTGAAAAATCACCCACAGGGAGGAGGCCACAGACAATCCCTTCTCTTCCATCCTTCTTTTGGAATTTGGGACACATATGCCCATCATAATTTTCAAGCCACCAGGTCTAGGACTCAAACCATGAAGTTGGCCATGTGGGATCCAGACCTTTAACCTATATACCACCTGCTAGCCCCATAAAGTCTTATTTGAGTTTTTTTTTTTTTTTTTTAGAGGTTTTTTGCTATAGGGCATGTGCACTCACCAGTGAGACAGAGAGAGACAGAGAGACAGAAAGTGAGAAATCAGCCCCCGGGGGGATGGCCATGCCACAATCCCTTCTCCTCAATTCTCCTCTCGGGATCTTGGGCACACACATACACGGCGTGAGTTTAAGCCACCAGGTCCGGGACTCAAACCGCAGTCAACTACAGGGGAGTCCAATGACACAGCCATTATGCTAACTGCTGGTCCCCAGTTTTGTTTTGTTTTAAGAGAGATTTGTTTGCTATAGGGTGTGTGCACTCACCGGAGAGACAGAAAGTGAGAAATCAGCCCCCGGGGGGATGGCCATGCCACAATCCCTTCTCCTCAATTCTCCTCTCGGGATCTTGGGCACACACATACACGGCGTGAGTTTAAGCCACCAGGTCCGGGACTCAAACCGCAGTCAACTACATGGGAGTCCAGCAACATAATTATTATACTATCTACTGGTCCCATGTCTTATTATTATTATTATTATTATTATTTTTTGGAGAGGTTTTTGCTATAGGGCACATGTGCTTGCCAGAGAGAGAGACAGAAAGTGAGAAATCACCCCCCGGGGGGGATGGTCACAGCACAATCCCTTTTCCTCCATTCTCCTCCCGGGATCTTAGGTGCACACACACATGTGCCTGGCATGAGTTTAAGCCACTGGGTCCGGGACTCGAACAGCGGTCAACTACATGGGAGTCCAGCAACACAGCCATTATGCTGGTCCCCGTAAGTCTTATTTTTAAACTTAGTTAACCACCTACTTTCCTTAGGGTTAAATTTTATTTTTTTATTTTTAATTTTTTTTTTAAGAATTATTTCGTTCAATTTTATTTATTACTATTATTTTTTAATTTGACCAGAGAGAGGGAGAAAGAGAGAGTGAGAAAGCAAGCCACCAGGTCCAGGACTCAAACTGAGGTGAGCCAAGTGGGAGTCCGGCTCCTTAACCACCACTCTACCAGCTGGTCCCAGGGTTAAATTTAAGAGCAGAGATTTTATTAAAATCTGGAAAAAAGTCATGTAAAAAAAATGTAGCTTTGGGGCTGGCAGGTGTCATGGTAGTTAAGGTGCTGGAATCCCACCTAGTCAAACGCAATTTAAGTCTTAGACCCAGCAGCTTGAAACTCATGCTGGGCACATGTACATGTGTGCCCAAAATCCTAAGAGGAGAATGGAGAACAAGAGGTTACAGTTTGGCCATCCCCCTGAAGGGTGATTGCTCACTTAGTGCCTCTCTGTCTCTCCAGCAAGTATACATACCCTATAGCAAAAATATCTCTCAAAAAAAAGTAGCTTCTTGGGAAAAAGTAAATATTCATTTTCCTTTGCTACACAGAGCTCATTATGCACAAGTGGTAAATACTTTATCCCTTAACTTCAGGAAAAGAATAGAAATCTGAAAATATATAAAATAAATTTTAAAAAATACCAAAATCTCTATTTAAGATATTAAGTTGGCTTCTGTGATCTTAGTTTTTCTAGTTAAGATCCCAGAGGTGAAGAGCATTCTTTATATCCTGTGGGGAAAGAGAGGTTTAAAGAACCTGTACACAAAGTTTATGAAGAATGTACTGCTTTCTTATTCATTTATTTATTTTAATTTGACCCGGGGGAGGGGGAAGAGGAGACTGACAGAAAGAGAGAAAGCAAGCTGCCAGGTCCAGGACTAAACCATGGTTGGCTATGAGGGAGTCCAGCGCCCCTAACCACCATGCCACCTGCCGGCCTCAGAGTGTAGTACTTTCTTGTAAACGCAGAGCAGCCCTGTACCACTGTTCATTTTTTTTTTCCACTGCTCATTTTTTAACCTAGTTACTGAGACATGAACTATGAAATATGGAGGCTGAGCATCATTTCAGTTTAGCTGGAAGTTATTGGCTTCTATAAAGATAGAACATATGCAATAATACTTTAAAATAAAAAACTCAGAAAAGGAAAATAAATGACAATTCTAACTATTTATATTATCAAGATAAATTATAAAACAAATGTATATATATGTTTACTAATAGTATTTTTTTTTAAGGTTTTTGCTAGAGGGCACATGCACTTACCAGAGACACAAAGACAATGAGAGGGAAAGTGAGAAATCACTCCCCAGAGGGGACGGCCATGCCACAATCCCTTCTCCATTCTCCTCCTGGGATATTGAGTAAGGTCACACATGTGCCCAATCTGAGTTTCAAGCTGCCAAGTCCAGGACTTGAACTAGACTAGACTGGTGGTCTGCCACGTAGAAGTCTAGCCTCACCACATGGGAGTCTAACTCCGCCATGTGGGAGTCTAGCACCTGAACCATCATACCACCTGCTGGCCCCAACAATGGGTATCTATCTCTGACTTATACAAATATCCCGTGTTGATAAAAATAGCAGTAAGAATTATTTTATAGATTTACTTAAGTCATGATTTTAAAAGCCTTGTTCATTCAGCATTGTTAAGCAGTATCAATCCACACATTTTGTTAGCTTCTCTCCCTTTATATGGTTGCCCAAAATAATACTGGATGCTAGTATTAGAATGCAAAACCATCACCAAAAGCTCAATGACTAAGTCTAGGGACCAAATGAGGATGTGCTTGCCTCTTGAAGATTGACTGGTAGCAAAGCTGATTTCGCACATGTCTATACCACTGGACTTGAAGCACCAGAACTTCCTGGGGAACTTTTAATAACCACTACACAACTGAAGAACAAATTATGTAAGAACAGCTCAGGGTAGACCTTACAGTTTTGTTTTGTTAAGGTTTTTGCCACAAGGCGTGTGCACACTTGAGATAAAGAGAAAGACAGAGAGAGGGAAAGAAAGAAATCACCCCCGGCCCGGGGGTGATGGCTGTGGCACTATCCCTTCTCCTCCATTGCCCTCTTGGGATTTTGGGCACTCACGTGCACAGCTGGCATGATTTTTCAAGCCACCTGTCTAGGATTTGAATTGTGGTTGGCCATGTGGGAATCCAGCACCTTAACCATCATGCTACCTGCTGGCCCTGGAGCTCATAGTTTTACATGCGCCTAGGAGATTCTAATGTGTGGTAAGGGTAGAGAAGCAATCAGGAGAAAGCCAATGATCTGTATGCTTTTTTTTTTTCAGAGGTTTTGGCCATCATAGGATGTGTACACTCACCAGGGGGAGAGAGACAGTAAAGGGGAAAGTGAGAAAGCAATCCTAGGGGGATGGCCACGCTGCAACCTCTTCTCCATTCTATTCCTGGGATACTGGGTACACACACACGTGCCTAATGTGGTTTCCAAGCCACTAGGTCTGCCACTCGAACCGCAGTCACCATGTAGGAGTCCTCTTACATAACCACTATGCCATCTGCTGGCTCCAATTATTTGTGTTTTTAAAAATTTCACCCAGCTCACCTGGGATTAAAACAAAATTGCTTTAGGGACCAGCAGGTGGCATGCTATTTAAGGCACTTAACTCCCAAATGGCTGACAGCAGTTTGAGTTCTGGACCTGGTGGTGTGCTTTCTCTCTCTCTGACCAAACTGAATAACAACTCAAAATTAAATGAATAATAATTCTTTTTTTAAAAGAATTATTTAACTTAATTTATTTTAATTTGACCTGAAAGGGACAGAATGAGAGTGAGAAAGACAGCAAGAGAGACAAAGAGAAAATGAGAAAGCAAGCCGCTAGGTCTGCGACTCGAACCATGGTTAGCTGTGTGGGCTTTCCATGTGCTGGTGTTGGAGGACTCTCCCTGCTTCAGATTTACCAACAGCATGAATCAAGAAAAGTTAGCTAAACTTCAGGCTCAGGTCTGGATAGGGGGAAAGGGTACAGCTCACAGAAAGAGGGTGGTATACAGAAGAGCTACAGATGATGATAAAAAACTTCAGAGTTCTCTAAAAAATACTGGCTGTGAATAATACAGCTGGTATTGAAGAGGTGAACATTATTAAAGATGATGGGACAGTTATTCATTTCAATAATCCCAAAGTCCAAGCTTCCCTCTCTGCTCATACCTTTGCAATTACTGGTCATGCAGAAGCCAAACCAATCAGAGAAATGCTTCCTGGAATATTAAGTCAGCTTGGTGCAGACCGTTTAACAAGCCTTAGGAAATAAGCTGAACAGTCCCCATGGCAAGTCTTGGATAGCAAAGCACCAAAACCAGAAGACATCGATGAAGAGGATGACGATGTTCCAGATCTTGTAGAAAGCTTTGATGAGGCATCAAAGAACGAAGCTAACTAAAACTTTTTCTGGTTTTGGAAGCTGGCATGGACTAGATTTAACAAATCAGTTATGTGGTTCCAACGTTTTACAGACATGGAGAACATCAGCTGTTACTAGTCCAGTAATATAAATATTTTGTATATGAATAATGCTGTTTATTCAGCATTTTTGGTCATTTGATTTTGCATTTTGCACTTCCTCCCAGGATCTATTCTTTTGGTCAAAATATGAAGTATTGGTGCAGCTCAAGGGTGTTTTGGTTTTTGATTTTTTGTTGTTGTTGTTGGGGTATTTTTGGTGAATGTATGTGTATGTATGTGTGTGAGTATGTGTGTATACAGTGGAAAGCAAATTGGAAAACAGTTCTATTTGTCCTCCTCTTTCCCCAGTAGAAATAAAACAAATCTTTAAAAAAAAATCACA